AATGCCCCTTTGGACATAATTTAAAATCTGAAACCTTTCAGATTTTTTTATTTTTTATTTTTTAAAATTAAGTTTGCATACACTATAAATCTAAGGCCAGCCATGTGGTTAAGATCATTAGAAGCTGGTAATTATTTACCAAGTCCATTTCTTGGTAGTAGAAAGTGGTAGTAAGTGTATTTCTGCAATAAAACTGAATATCTTATTCGTTTTTAATTTTTATCAGTTTTGAATATTTAAAATAGTTTGTTTACACTGCATTCCATTACCATGAATACCGCATACACCGCTATCAATTACATATACATTTTCTATGCTTCATTTGCACCTGTAACGCGATTTTGGAGAGCGTATAATTTCTGTTTTCCTTATAATTTTATCTCATTAGTTATTTACTCTCTGGCCTTCTCTTTGTATATAGTGTGATTCTAAAATCTCTGGCAGCATGTAAAAGGCTGGTAAAGGGAACAGAAGTGAGCATATTTTATAATAAAATGCGTGCTCAGAAATGGCACGTGTATCATGTTAAGTGAGTTTAAAAAAGTGACCGGAGAACTGGGAACTGTTCCTCTACCATAGTGGTTAATCAGTACAGCACCACGTCTACCATGATCTAGAGCACCCCTTTATGGTAAAAGGGAGGCCACACGCGCTCCTCGCGCCGGACGCCCAAATCAAACGCCTAAGGGCATCCCAAGGACAGTCTGCAACACCAAATGCCGCCTGGGAATTTAATAATAATAAAATAAGAAAAGGGCTCAGATAAGATTATACAGTGGTATGCAAGGGCTGACATATGTGACTTGTCCATCACTGACACATAAATGGTGAATATATGCAAATTAACTCGTTGACAGTATACTATTCTGAAATTTCTAACTAATGTATATAACATATGTACAAGTAAACACTGGTAACTACTAATTACATTGAACTCCACAACGTGTTTGAGTTGCATTAAATAATACTCCATATGGACATATAAATGCTGCAAATCGATAAAGAGTGAATTATATTTGTGTGATAAAGAATGTGAATTAGATCTTCAGCAAAATTACTAAATACTTTACATCTAGTATATATAACAAATAGGATTACAACGCTACTAATAACACATGCAAATATATGCAGAAGACGACAACTAATCACTACATAGATGCAAGGTTTAGACAATATATATATATATGTGTGCAATACTAAGGCTGATCACTACATAAGATACAAAAAAGGACAGTTATCATGTAAGCACTTATAGATAGAGTAATTACGTAGATTATTAACAGATTGATAGAACTCTGGCAAATATAATAAACTAAGTTACGTTACTATAACATAAACTAAGCAACATCAGGTACTACATGTGAAAAGAACAATGCTACAAATTGACAAAAAATGAATTAAAATTTGCGTGACTGTGAATGTTATTAACAGGTAAGTGCGAAACACAGCTGAAGTTGAGGAAGCAAACATTTTATTAATTCAGCTTTTTGCGATAAATATTCGAAAGTGAGGCCATCAACCGCATTAGAAGATTCACAGCAGCATTGCATAGACTGGTGTACTTTGCAAAGAGCTCAAGTATTTCATGCACACTTGTAGCAACAACTGGCAATCTGGTGACTAAATTTTCATAAAACTTAATGGGACTTTTATTGATTATGCTGTTAATATACTCTAGGGAGAAGTAATCTATCCATGGGACTTCTGGTGTTGACTAAGGTACATGTTCACCGAGTCCTATCCAGTGGCAGAGTTCGATATCTTTAAGATTCCGGTTAATAGGTTCTAACATTCAGCGATTCGGCAAGTGTGCGCTGGAAATTAGTTCTCTATACATCCTTTGAGCAGCGCTTCGTTTCAATCCGTAGCGCAGTAGATAAAATGTACATGCAGGCTCCGCGTGCTTATAATGCTGGAACAACTTGAAATCCGAAAGAGGAATGCGAATTAACGCCAGCAGACAGCTTTTACCTACCGATTTTAATAGGGCCTTCTACTATCTCAGCGCTCCAATTCTACGTACATATTTCATTATAAAATAAGTTTATTTCGTTCTTTCGTATGCTTTCAACCTGTCTTTACATCCTGTGTATATCTAAGTATTTGTTGCAATCTTGTAACAACTTGTTTTGCTATTGCGAAAATGTTTATGAAAAAATTCTGCTATAGCATGTTATTCATAAATGTTACTAGCCAGGCAAGAAAACTGCAAAATACTGTACTTGCGCAATGAAATAAATTGTTGACGCACAAAATGAAATTATTTTCTTCGTACTAATCATTGCAAAAGCAATTATGTCGGTATCTTTTCGTTAGCTTTGAGTTTGAAGAAAAGAATGCGCACCATGCTTGCAATTCGAAATACAAATTTATATTTCTGAAATGATAAGATTAGGCACGAACAGAAGGTTACGATGCAAAGCATAGCACGCAGTGCTTGGATAGAATATGCGAAAGTAATGAGGGCAGAAAATTATTTCACTCTTATGGAAGCAGATGTTTCTAGCAGTCGAAAACTGATTCATCTAGTCATGCAGCGTTATCTAAATATCGTTAAGCTACAGTTTACGAAAGGTTTAACTGTGCAATTCCTACAATTGCTAAAATGTCGAAAGTCGTAGAATCATTAGGTTATTTTGAAGCAGATGACTCAAAAAATGAGCAATGTCCTCTCCGTCTCCAACCTGGACCTCTCGAATACGCGTCGAGTTTGCTACCGTTACACCACGAAGACATATAGAAAGGAGGGAGAAAGTACCTTGTGCATTCGCCAAATCCTGGGGTGAAGAATCATCACTCACCACCTTTTAATTCGGGTGCCACTCTAGAGTAATTAGGTTATTATGAAGCACGAGAAGAGAAAAATGTGCAGTGCCTTCACCGAGACTCGAACCTAGACATCTGGTACACCACGAAGGCATGCACAAAGGAGGGAGAAAATACCTTATAATATAGAATAAGAATTTTACTAAAATTATTCATTACGATTACCATTGTTTATTGTTCAAATGTTTAAAATTTTGATATTTGAGAGGCAGGCACTTTAAATTTGTTTTGCGGACATGTTGATGCTCGCAGGCACCGCATTGCAGATTCCTGCACTACTGCCAAGAAATTTACAGATGTTTTATTGCTATGATATTTTCGTTTCAAAGAACACTTAATAGGCCAACGAAGATTTTAAGAGGATGCCGAATTGTAACGGTAGATGATTCAATAAAATGGATTTTAATTGTAGTTGGAAGAGTTTTAGTGCTTCGGTTAGTTGAGGGCAGTTTGTTTAGTAGCCAAAGAAGATGGATTATTACTTTTGATCAATTTATTAAAATATCAATAGGACTGTCATAAACGTACGACTGAAGATTAACATTTCCTTTGAAAAGCATTCGTTAACCCTAATTGGGTGAAATATGTCTATCTTGCAGTAATGAATGTATTAAAGAATTGTTTATCTTTTTACTCTCACTCTCTAATTTTCTGTTCTGAGTGTCTGGGAATTTTTGAGTGTCTGTGTTGCTTGGGGGGGGGATAAGGATAAATTTATTTAATAATACTGTTTTTTATTCCTTGAAAGCAAATTATTCTAATTATGTTGATGATCCTTCCCATGGGAAAGCCAATAAGTCTATACAATCACATTTTAATCAATACTGCGATTAACCATCTTGGAAGAAAGACGTTAAAGAAGCTGACAGATTTTTCAAATAGCACTTAAATAGAAAATTTAGATAATTTCGAAATATTACATCCAATTTGCATCTGTAAATACAAAAGAGAATTCTTGAAAAGGCACTATGGAAAAATATTCAAACTGCATTGACAAAATATTAAAAGATCCTTTGCATCTTTTGTTATTTCTATTTCTTTTCTTAAGGAAAAAATTAATTATAAAAGGAATATCTTCATATGTGTTCTGAATGTCATATGTGTTCTGAATTTTAAATGAAACACACTTATCTCCCTATTCGGCATGAAAATACAATCCACGGTTAATGTCAAGATATTTAAATTCGTTGCAAAGAGGAATAACACTTATTACAATTACCAGAAAAAATGATATTAAGAATCTATCAGTATTTCCAAACAGTTCAATGTGAAAAACGAAGAGAAACACGCCAAAGTGATACATAAAATTAGCAAAACAACAATCTTATGTTTGGCGTAGATTTAGTCAACAATTCAATCGATTTCGGGGACAAAAAGCTACAAGTCTCTCATCATCCGGAGCAAAGAAATCTGAAAGAATGATGCTGCTGATGAAGAGAGACCTGTATCTGTTTGCCCTCGAAATCGATTGAGTTCTTGACTAAGTGTAGAGAATATTTGTTTTCCAAATTAATATGATGGAAAAAATATTTATAGGAATATATCTACCACAGCTTTAAAAATGTATGCATATAACAATTTAATACAAGACACACATTAATTAATGATCATCCCAGTTTCGCCTTTAATATTTATTTTACTCAACCTCGAAAAGAGAAAGTTCTCCTTAAGTTTTGCTGTTATTAGTTTCCGCATTTTTTTTTTTCAAAACGCTGAAACATTAGTTATTGTGAATCTTGATTAGTACATAAATTTTTTGTTTTTCAAGGTTGACGTTCGTTATTATCCTAGAGTATTTTGACCTAACATTCGTTTCCCGCTTTTGTATGCACTAAAATATACTTTATTTGAAAATATACTTCATTTATTTCTTTAACATCCATTGGCATAGAATGGACTATAATAACCATTTTAATTCTTTCAGTATTTAAAGTAGTGTAATACAAAGTATCCAACAAATGTATGCAGAAAATGAAGCCTAAAATACATAAGCTAATTTAATTTACTGTCGAAATCGAAAGCTCAACTTTCGAAATTTGTGGAGAAAATGAACCTTAATCAAAACATCACCCAAACTCGCCAAGAATGCGATAAACGACAAAAATGGCAGACGTCCTTTTTCTCCGCCTCCTTCGCGTTCCAGTTGACGGCCCTGACTCAAACCAAAATTCTGGAGTATGGACCTCGGAAGAGAAAACTAAAAAAAAGAAAAGTCAAAACAGCAGTCTCCCTGCTCTTAAACGGAACAGCTCCCTTCATATATGACGTCACTTCCTTTTCACATGCTAGTGATTTCTATCGCAAACTTCGATTTCAACTTCAGTTTCAAGAGCTGAACTGCCTCCAGTCGCAACCATGCTTAGGTCCAAGAAATACTTTTTGCTGTTCTGGGGGCTCTTGGAGACATGGGTTTTCAGTGGAAGTATCTTAGGGTGGTCTGCGCTTCACTATATGTTAAAGAGGGAAGGAGTTTATGGATACCTATGTCATCCTTTTGACGTTCCGGACTCTAATTCTACCTTCATTGCCGAAGCTTCTCCTTTAGTGGATAATTCTGAACCTTTAGCAGAACCTATTGTACCTTCCGTACAAGTAAGTTATTTTAAAGTTCCGTATATTGTCTGTTAAAATACATGGTCTGAACAATTTCATTACAAAGATAAGATGAGAAGATGCAAAATGCTCATATTTTATATAAATAAGGATATTTTTTTAATACATGTCTGTTGAATTGTTTAAAAAATGTTTCCAAATTCCTGGTTTTGGGCAGCTAAATATATTTTGGCTTGTTTAAATTGAAATATATTTTAAATATTTTAAAACTGTATATAAGTTTAGACAATAGAAATTTAAAATTACAGAGAATAATATTCATGTTAATTTTTTCGAAAAAATAAACAATTTTTTTTCTACATTTTTTATATAGTATTGCTTTATTAGGTCCTTTAAAGGAAGCATTGTAATCGCGAAATATTTCCGGTGTCATTTCAACGGAAGTATCGATTTTCAACGTTCCGGAATCTATTTCGACGATTTTTCTGCATGACGTCTTTTATATGTGACTCCTTTTCCCAAAACGGATTTTTTCATGACGTATGTACATAGGTACGAATGTATGTATCTCGCACAAGTCAAAAACGATTCACAGTACAACGTTGAAATTTTGTATATAAGACTGCTATAACATCCAACTGTATACCTCCCCTTTTTATTGCAGTTGGCAACACCAAACATATGTAAGTATATACATACCCACCTTCTTATCTGGCTTAAAAGTCCTTACCCGTCCTTTATTTTCGCAATCATTGGTCGTAGTCATGCACTTCCAGTTACAGATGTGTTTTAAATAACGAAAATATTCACGTTTTGATGTCATGTCAAATTTACAAATAAATAAATAAATAAATAAATAAAAAATCTGAAATGTTTCAGATTTTAAATTACGTCCAAAGGGGCGTTTTTTTTAACATTTTGTGTGTTACCTTTCTTTATTAAATATCATGTTCCTCGCACTTAAACCATAAGATCCAATGCAACAGCAATATCGCAAAATAATTTTAAAAACGAGCATATCTTTAGAATTTCCGATACAGAGACTCACGCGCTGGAGATAAAAATGTTTTTTCTGCACAACGTTGCCATTGCTCGCTTTGAAATCCTTAAGTTTGTTAATTAAAAATTCGTCAAAGTTTTAAAAAATAGGAAATCGATCATAAAACAAATTTCAAATTTCAAATTTGGTCTTCCACATGCTCATATTCGTTGGAGGATTACGTTATTCAAAATTCGATGACTCTATGTACCGTTGTTTTATCACAATACGAGAAATATACATACATTTATGCAGATTTTTCATTATTTAATTTCTTCAAATATATGCATGCAGGACTCTAACATTTTTGTGGGCAACAGTTTGAAAAGTGAACCGACATTTATGAGTCCGACGCAAAATGCCAAAACGAAACTAATAGTCCTTCGGGATTCAAATCCCTTTGGACTAATAAAATAAAATAAAAAATAAAAAATAAAAAATCTGAAATATTTCAGATTTTAAATTACGTCCTAAAGGGCCTTTTTTAACATTTTGTGTGTTACCTTTCTTTATTAAATATCATGTTCTTCACACTTAAACCATAAGATCCAGGTCAACAGCAATATCGCAAAACAGTATTAAAATGAGCATATCTTTAGAAATTCCGATAGAGAGACTCACGCGCTGGAGTCTGCACAAAGTTGTCATTACTCGCTTTGAAATCCTTGAGTTTGTTAGTCAAAAATTCCTTAAATATTTACAAAATAGGAAATCAATAATAAAAAAAATTCCAAATTTCAAATTTGGTCTTCCACATGCCCATATTCGTTGGAGGATTACGTCATTCGAAATTCGATGGCTCCATGTACCGTTATTTTATCACAATGCGAGAAATATAATACATTTATGCAGAATTTTCATTATTTAATTTCTTCAAATATAATGCAGGACTCTAAATATTTTGTGGCAAGAGTTTGAAAAATGAACCGACATTTATAGGAGTCCGACGCATAATGCCAAAACGAAAGTAATAGTCCTTTGGAACTCAAGTCCTTTTGGACTAAAAAACAAAAATTAGACAAATAAATTAAATGCGGTTTCTAGATTCCCATACTCGTATTTCGAAAAATTTTATACTCGTTATGAAAAAATAAAAATCCAAAAAGTTTGACGTACGAAAAAAATGGACGAGGTTATTTAATGAAAAAAAATTCCAGTTTTCGATGTCGTTTACAACTTGCCCGGAGGGATCGGTTAATTCCGTTAATTAAGGTAGAATAATTCGAGGAAGTAAGATTAAATGAAGGGCAATAAAAAAGTGCGTATAAGTTAATAAATTGTACAAGGAAATCATATGTGGTGCCCACATCAGCGTTTTTAACATTTGCTCTCCTAGTGCTCTTTTTATGATATGAGAAAATTAACTTCGAGAAGCAGATATTGAATGAATTTCAGGGTTAATATAAAATATTTTCTTACCTTCAATTTTTATCATATAATAAATACCATTAAGGTTGATGAATAGGCCAGCATTTAAAACCCCTGAACACTGGTGGTTTCTCTTCGTGTCTGATTCCATTAACAGATCAAGATGGTTTCGAATATCATTGTATCAGACCATGTAGCTATGTGTGCAATATCTCTTAAAGAGATTAAGATAATGCATTGCAATTATAAATATTTTCTCCAATATTTCCTCTTTGTTTAAAATAAACTCTCACTTACACTCTGCTAAAATTAAAATGCTCAGAAATTCCAAAAATGGAATCAATCTGGAAGTATTGAGATCACTACAGATATAGTGGTTGATATTTTCTTTTCTTTTATCTGAAAATAAATATTTTAGTACATATATATTTCAGAAAATATTACCATTTATTTAATTTCGATTTGGGTGCATTCATCTGGACTATTACCTTTTTTTTATTAATTCAATAATTAAGAAGATTTCGTTAATCATCAGATGCACAGCTACAAACACGTTAAGGTGGTTACCAAAAAAATGATTTCCGCGAGGTTTATGAGAAAGAAATAAATTTGTTATTGTGATCGGTTTTTCTTGTTTTTTCGAGTTTTAATTTATAAATTTTCTTAGGTTTTGTTTTACTTGCATCATTTTCCATTTCCTAGTGATTAAGAACCGCACATGCTGGAATTGAAAATACCTTTCCAGCATTTGAAAAAAAATCAGACATACAAAGATAGTTTTTTAATTCTCATCATTTTAATGCTAACTTTAAGCAGTTCCTTTTTTGATAAATTTTAACAGAATCATGTTTTGATGTTATTTTACGCCGTTTGATATTTTGTTAATAATTTTTTATCATTTTCTCATGCGAAAATATTTTCCATTAATTGTCTAGATTCTTAAGGTTTCGGTTTTCATTTTCTGTCTAAGATTTCTTTCGCTTGCTAAAATATAAATATGAAAAGTGTTTGTGCTTAGTGACAATATTATTTTAAATACTGTACTTTATTCCTAGAATCCTTTGGAACGTTATGCGAGCGTAGCCATTAACTTATGCAAGCTGAAAATTGCTTTAATTAATACAGATTAAAAAAAGAATTTTTTATGGGCAAAATATTTCTGATAATCTGGCATTTCCGTTTTATTGTGAGCAGATTATATTTAGGCTGTTTTATTCCTAAAAAATAAATTTTTACTTTATTTTCATGAAGTCTCCAAAAATTTCATTGTCGCTTCTAATGAGCTTTTCCAATTCAATTTTATTTATTATTATAAACTAAGCAAAATGAAAAGCTCTTTCTTATGATACAATGAGCTCTTTAAACTAAATGTTATAAATTATTATAACCTGAGCAGAATAAAAAAGCGCTTTCTTGAAATGCAATTACCTTCCTCAAATTAATTTTATTAATTATTATAACCTAAGCAAAGTAAAACAAATGTTTTCTTGAGATCCAGTGAGCCTTCCCAACTGACTTTTGTTAATTATTATAACTTGCGTAAAATAAAACAACACTTCCTTGAGATACAAAGATCCTTTTCAACTGAATTTTATTAATTGTTATAATCTGAATTTACAACATTTCTAGATTCAGTATTTATAAGCATAAGAAACTTTTATAATGTTATCCTTCTTTTTCCTTTAAAACATTAGTAAGTAAAGCTATTACATTTCTGTAGTAGTTTTTTAATCGCCTGTCTAAAAACTTTTACAACCTCCTGTATCAGAAATTCTGTAATTTCTTATTGTTTTGTTTATTAAATTTCTTGACGTCTCATATTGTCATCTTAAACGGAAACAAGATAAAAGAAAAGAAAACAAAAGTGTTAGTTTCATCAGATAAGCTAAATCGTTGATAAGCAAGAGCAATTTTAAAGAATTAAGATCCCCTGATATGGCTGCATTTGCTATAGTTTGTAGCTTTCACTATTTTTAAAGCCTGTGTTCCATAATCACGAGCTGTAATGGACTTATCTCTTCTATTTAACATAATTACGCATGAGTTTATCTGCCTTGTTTGTTAACAGTGAACTTGAACTTCTTCTTGAGTAAGCGTGCTTTACCTTGTTCCGTTGCGTTCCATTTCCTCATTTCTTCAAAATGTTCAAAATAGGTTAGGATATTTTTGGATTATTTCGCTTTAAATAGTACGTAAATACTTGTGCAAATACAGAAGCAAATATAACAGAAGCAGGCGTATTCTAGTAGAAACTGATAACACGTTTCTCCCCTTCACCTTTGCATAAAATGTCTTCGAAAAAGGAAACTACAATTGGTTCTTCATTTACCGGTATCACAAGAGAATGACATTCATTACGAACTCAGAATGATGGCTAAACCTGAGGGCTATTAAAAAACGCAAGGAAGAGAAACAACCCTAATTTTAAAAATTACTATAATTAAAAGAAAAATATTATTAACAGTTTACCTATATTTCCAAGCAGTTTTTTTATGTAAAAGTTGTTCATTTAATTACGTGAATGAAATCAGATACCGAATTCGCAAAATAACACGTTGTAAATACAAAATACATTTTATATTATAGAATAAATAGAGATAAATACAAAATACATTTACAACGTATTACAAAA